GTCAGTCAGGACCAGGCTGGAATTGTGTTCCAGGAAAAATCGCTCCTTACAAGAAAAACATGGTGGGAGAAGATACAAAAAGTAAAACTACACATAAAAATCAAGGTTTATAGCAAAAATAATTAAGAGACCAAGAGCAAACTGATTCTACAGCCTCTACTACTTTCTGTTTAAAAAGCAACAATTTACATCTCTTTATTCTTCTACACAGCTTCCTGCTGTTACTACTTTCCTGGGCAGGGGTAAAATTTCACACCACATTCTCTAACTCACACAGCCTGAGCAGTAACCAACAAAGGCCCTGGGGAATCATGCTCTCATCAGGTTTCTTTCTCCTTTAAAAGTTGTATTTATCACAGGGTGGTGGTGATGGCGGCGGCGGGGCACGGCTTTATTCCCAGCACTCGGGAGGCAGAGGCAGGCGGATCTCTGTGAGTTCGAGTCCAGCCTGGTCTACAGAGGAGATCCAGGACAGGCACCAAAACCACACAGAGAAACCCTGTCTCGAAAAACCAAACCAAACCAAACCAAACCAAACCCACAAGGGAATAAGAAGGCTGGGGCAGCACGCCAGCCCCTCAACACTGCTGCAGGTTCTTCTCAGCGTTCGGGCCTCTTAGTGCCCGTCTGGCCTGCTGTGTCCCTGTTCTTAACCTGTACTGTTTAGAGAGCCTTACAGAGCAGGCACATTCCCCCCAGAAGAGCCTGGGCTGTGTGGGGAAGAGCAGTGCGATCCTAAGAAGCACAAGCAGGAATGGGCAGGGTGTGTGCATACACACCATGTACCAGCTTCAGCAGATGGGCAGCAGGAAGCTGGAGCTGCTCAGCCAGAACTACTACATGTGTCCACACATTTCCTTTATTTGTTCAGATCTGACACAGATGTCAGTTTCTCCGTCTTCAAAGGTGACTAAAGACTCACTTTTCAATGCAAAGTTTAGAGCCTATGTAGTTACTGTGAAAATCACACACACACACACACACACACACACACACACACACACACACACACACACACACACAAATGAAATAAAAGGCTCTAATAAAGAGCAGACCAGAATTGAGACCTAGGAACAGGAAAGGTTATTACTTTTTTTCCTCCTTCCAGCAGGAAGGTATGTAAAGGTATCAACAAGTAAAAACCAACTTTTACTGATTCTGAATAAAATACATGTAAATACTAAATTTACACTCTAGCCATCTGGCAGGTTAAGACCTGTAAGCCTATTACTTAGGCTGAGGCAAAAGGGTGCGCCTTGGAGGCCAGCATGAGTCTACACCACATGACTACAATAAGATGTTATCTACAATCCTGGAGGGAGTCCAGGACACTCCTCTGCAGGCGCTGCAGACACAGCCATCTTTCCGCAGGTTGAAGGGGTCACAACCTTCGCTTTCTGATCTCCCGGCACCTTGCAGTTCTTCCCCGCTTGCTGTGGACAGCACAAGCAGACTCAGAAATGGAGATACACTGTACCTGACCAGCAAATCAAATAAAATGTGCTAAGCTTCACTAGACACCAAAGGACTACACCACGTTTAAACAACTCGGTGTGACAAGTACTCAAAGGCCGTGCGTCTCAACACCACGTCCAGAAAGCCTGCTGCACGTTACCCGCCCCGCTGCGCTGGTTCGCCCTCATTCGCTACTTTAATAAAGCACTGTGCGTCCGTCCCGTCATCATCTGCCTCCCAGCAAGAGCTCTCTGTTTTATGACATGCAATTCAAATGTGGAAATAAAGCCGTATGCACAAATTAAAGAAAACCTGAGACTCTACCAGAAAGAGAAATGCTTACCACAAATCTAGTGGATCGCCAACCACAGAACTCCTTACGCCAAGTTTATAACATGAAGCAAACTCATTTGCTATGCTAAACAGCAAAGTGCCATGATAGAAATGACTATAAATATGTGTTAACATATAAAATGTGTGCATGTGTGCCCAAGTGTGAAAGACTATTGTCTGGTTTTTACATTGCTTTAAAAATTCAGTTTTGCAGGCTGGAGAGACGGCTCAGTGGTTAAGAGCACTGACTGCTCTTCCAGAGGACCCATTCTCAGCACCCACATGGCAGACAACAACTGTCTGTAACTCCAAGATCTGACACCCTCACACAGACGTACATGCAGACAAAATACCAATGTACATAAGAATAAATTTTGAAAAACAAAATTCAGTTTTGCTGAATCTATATATAGATTACATATCCATATATACATTATCTATATATACATTAAAGTGTTTTTCAAATGTATCTTTTTAATCAAGTAGATGACAAACACTATGTACAAATTCCACCCATCTGGGATCTCTCGGTACAGAGGGAAACAGCAGCATCAGTGCACCGAAGCAGAGCAAAATTCCTTCTGTGGAGCCCTGGGCGGCCTCGAATTCACAGATCCACCTGCCTCTGCCTCCCAAGTGCTGAGATCAAAGACGTGCACCACCACTGCCTGTAACAGGCACAGAAGGGTATACAAAGGTAGGTATGCAGTATTTCACCAGTGACAGAATCTTCCTGGCGGCTACATCACGTCCCCATTGTCAAACATCACAGTGCGCACACAGTGGACAACCTGGCCCCGTCCTAAGGGCCGCTCCCCACTCTCAACCATGGGCTCAAAGGCTCCCATTCATAAACCGAAGCTCTGACTAGCCCACTCTTGAGAGACACAGCATGCTTTGCTCACCCAGCCACCCCCACCCAGCTTGCCCTATTGGTTCCTACCCCTCTCCCACAGCCCTGGCCAACTCCCTGTCCCTCTAGGCTGACTGACCTCTTCAACCTCCTCTCCTCTCTCCCAGAGGAGCCACTCAGAACACACTAAGCACTAATATCTACCTTAAAATTTTATAAATTAAAACATGTACTTTCTCTAGACTAAATTATAATTTGTAGAGAACAGAGGCTTTGTACACTTCTCTACATAATGCTGCTTTCATGTACTGCTTAAGAGCTAACACAGGAATCTTGAAGTACATCAGCAATTTAGGTTTGGAGCTGGAGAAGCAGCTCAGGGTCTGCCCAGCATGTGGAAGCCCTGGCTTCAGTCTCCCCTCAGAGAGGGTGGGCTGGGGGCATCAGCAGGAACATGAAGACGAGTCAGCTGGAAAACTTGTCCCCACAAACATGTGGACAAGGAGATTCTTCCTCCCAAAAATGTTCAACATTTCCTAATTAAAAAGAAACAAACAAACAAAAAACCCTTCCCCCCCCAGCATACAGATCTAGATTTCTAATTATTCTCCCAAAGGAACCAGTGGAGAAATGCTCATTCTAGGAATATACAAAATAAGCTTGGGGCTTCTTAAAGTCTTACAAATAAGAAAATTCTCAAAAACCAAAACAAGATGGGACATCGAATGGGATGTTGGCGTCCATCAGAATACTGCTGACAGCCAAAGCTGAACTGATTTCAACAAGACAGGTCATAGTCCTGGCATGAGAACCCACATGGATACACATGACTGAACGTATGGGAAGAGACACAATCTCCGGAGACCTCCAGGTAACATGCAGACCACCTCTCAGTGGCCAGACCTTAGTGATAAAAGCAGGGTACTTGCAGTCCGTAAGACGAAAACCATTAGAAATCGAGATGCAGAGCCAGGGATGCGGTACATACCTGTAATCCGAGCACTTGAAGATGGAGGCGGGAGGGTCAGAGAACAGGCCGGGCTATATGAGACTGTGTCTCAAAAACAAAACAAAACAAAAAAACCAGAAATAACTATAAGGATAAGACTAACATCATCAACAGTGAAGACTACACCCATGAACAAACAGCATGTGACTGAAGTCTACCTCTGTAGGAAACATTTCAAACTTGGATCTACACTATACAAAGAAAAGGTAAAGAACTACTGCAGAAACTGAAACTCAGCTAATCAAAAGAGCACTTAAGTGTTGCCCTTTCTTTTTAAAAAATGCACACTGTAACTAAGGACAAGGAATTTTGTTAGTAAAACAGTCTTCAGTCAAGCAGACGCTTTCTTATACCTCTACATTGAAAACTCGCCGGTCTTTCTAAGTTTCACATCAAATGAAGCTAGCCTAACTACTTCACTGTGCAGTGTGGCATCAAACATAACCCTGCCTGTTGACTGACCACGGCCGTACACACGAGACAAACTCCCAAACTAGGAAACCAGGACAAATGAATTCATTCAGATTCAAGTTGTTTAAATACGGCATTTTATAGTTTAGACAATGCTTGACGAATGTATTATAGAAAAAGCGATATCCCAGCAAGCGGGAGGCAGGGGCAGGCAGATCTCTCTGAGTTGGAGGCCAGCCTGGGTTCCACAAAGAAACCCTGTCTCAAAAAAAAAACCAAAAAACCACAATGTTACATTAGCCATGATTCAAAACAGGCAGTGTACTATATATGCAAATGATGATGAAAAACAAAGGTTGCAGCTTGGAGGGCAAACTTAGTAACTATTACTTTATGCTACATCTCAAATTGGAATCATGCTGTCATATCTATGAAGTATTTGTAATATAAATCCCAAAATCACCGTGGTGGCACATGCCTTTAATCCCAGCACTTGGAAGGCAGAGGCAGGCAGATCTCTGAGTTCAAGGGGCTACACAGACAAATTCTGTCTCAAAAAAGCAAAACAAGATAAAACAACAACAACAAAAACCAAGTCTTATCTCACGTCTTGGTGTCAATAAGGGCTAAACCACCCCAGTCAAGGAACTGGCCTAAGTCTCTTTTGTTGCTGTTTCAGCGTTTTAACGCTGATTCTGCCCTTCTAGTACCTTGTATATTGCACAGAGCAAGATTTCAGAATGACAAACATTTTGTTCATTCATAGGAAATATCTTATGGAATCAAAATAGTCAAATACAGGGAAAACAATGAAAAATGAAGGAATTTACTTGCCATTCTCTGAACTACCAAACTATACTGAAGAGAAAATTCTAAAATCAGAAAGGTAGGAAAGAGGCGATATAAAAACCTCTTAAAATGTACAAGAAATTAGACTGGTTTCGTTTTCTTTAACATCTTCTTTAATAAGACATTACAGCACACGTGAGGTCCTCCAAGTGTGTCAGCTAAACATGAGGATGAGCAAGTGAACCCCATTCCTTTTGACAACTAACATAAATACAGAATACAAACACATCAATTCCTTCTCGCTATTTTATATCACCCTTGAAGACACCGTAACGGTTTTTAAACAAATCTATCTGTTAAAGAATCTCCAAATTAAGTTACAAAAAGGTTTAAGTTGTCATTTTCTCCTTACAGCAAATTTAACTGAAACACAAAAGGGGACCATGCTGACAATCCCCATGCTAAGAATGAAGATCCATCAACCATTCTCTATCACTGAGATACAGAGTGAAATATGGTGCCGTTAGCTGCTTACAAACAGTTAAATACAAGATCGAAAAGGTTTTATTCTGAATTACAGACATTGAAACAAATGGAAAGAATTAAACTGAAACTTGCGAACAGGCTCTGAATATTCAGTTTGTTACCGAAAAGAAACGTCCATCTGTAGAAAGCACTAAACCTGTCACTTAACTGCATGTCTGGGAGAGCCACAGGAAACAGAGAAAACTCTAACTCTAGTCAGCAATACTTGAGGACACAATGGACACCAAGTCTGAAAGGCAGGAAATTAACAGAGTAACACAATGACTGGACTTAGGGAGGCTGGGGACGGCACTGAGGCTCTTCCTAGAGATACCTTCCTTCAAACTCAGCGCCACAAGCCAGGTGGCCAGTGTGCTACGCTGCCACCAAATGCAATGGCTACAGCTGCATGAGAGGATTCATCGTCAGCCACAGGGCACACAGCTCTCTGTAGCTGTCAGTACTTATCTTAATGTTCTTCCGATTACATCAGTTTTTAAGCTGAATTATTACAGCAGATTTACATGAACACCAGCCAACAAGAACACCAGAACTAGTCTTCCTTAACCAGCCTAACCAAATGAGAACACTGGCCCATTTTTACATTTTGCTACTTGAGGTGGAAGTCAAACCAGACAGTCTGACCTTAGGAGCCAGCACTAAGTTCCTAAAATTATGTTTTACTTAAAAGACAAAGAATATTCTGGGAATTAACCTGGCACAAATCATTCCAATCTTTCTGTTAAATGCAAAAATCCATTCATAAAATTAGCTAAATAACTTTTCAAATCTCTCTCAAAAATTATGGTTCATTCTCAAATTAAAGAATTGTAACAATTTGCAAAATACCCATTAGAAGACTAAGTCCTTAACAGTTCATGCTTGTTCCATCATACTTTGTCCAAAGAGGCCATTTCATTCTGGCATATACTTCGGGACACAATCATTCAGAAGGGCTCACTGGCAAAGCTACCAATTTTATGAACTGAATCTGTTATACCCACAATGCACTCCTGGCTGCAAGTGGAGCCACCTTCCAACAGGAAACGATCAGAAGTGGGGAGACAGGGACTGCAAACACACTGAGGCGCAGCAGTCAGCCCCTCTGTAACTGTGTCAGCTGCCAGTAAAGCCATGTGCACAATGTCATGAACGCGTCTGCTCTAGTCCAACAGACCTGCCACTGAGCTGAGGGAGGGAGAGGACTGCCTTGCAACACTAGCTGATCAATTCATTTTTATAATAAGGCAAATAATAAGAAGTTAGAACAGAATTTCTAGAACCATTTATCTTGTGATGTTGTAAAATCAAAGCACTACTTTATTAAATGAGTTATTTTACACAATATGAACATCAATATAATTACAATTGTAAAAAAATTTTATAACAAGAATGGACTGATTTTCCAGATTTCCAAATCCGAGTCAACTGTACATTTACACAGAATTGTCTTTGCATGAAGCCCAGAGGGAACAGCACAAACATGAGTGTTTCTGTAGCCCCTTTATTTTGCTGATCAACAGTTTGTTTAAAAAAGCAGCTGCAGGTTTGTTACCTAAGGTCTGAGACAGTAGAAGAGTCAACAGTGTCATGAATTCACCTGTGAGACAAAAGGAAAAGCTTCAGTAAATGTAATGACTGGCAAGCATTTCAAGTATCTAAAAGGAAAAACTATCAAGATGTCAGAGTGGTGGATTTGTCAACTGGATAGTAAAGACAGAAATAACTCTCAACCACATGCATATGTACCACTACCTAGGAGGGCAAGAAACCCAACCACACATGAAGTGTAAACTGGTAACTTTAAAGGACTTTTTACAGAGTTTTTTACTCTGTATTTTAACACAGAGATGCTCTGCCTAGCACTATAAGTAAAAGAAACATAAAAACGTACTCAGTAAATTGTTCTGAACTTCTGGGAGAAGACCCTTGTGCCTTTGAAATGACTCTTTTCTTACAGCTGACAAGTCTTTCATTCCTGGCTCAAAGTTGGCCAGAATCACTAAGCCCCTCCACTTCTGGCTATAGCTGTAAAAACCTGAGTGTTTCAAAGGCATGAAAAAGAAAGGGTCCAGGGAAAAGGGCTTTGACCAGCTGTAAAGTGTTTTACTAGAATACTTTACCATTTATACTAAATACTATTACTAAGCTCTGGTACAAAAGTTAAACACTAAGAGTAAAGGCACACGTCTCTGCTCGAGGCAGGAATCCATTCCACACCTGAGGAGATGCAGTTTGGCTCCTAGAATTCTAAACCAAAACTGACAAACCAGTAGGGAGATCAGCAGTTACCTGTAAACTTTACGCCTGAACATCAGCCAGTTCTGGAGGAAGTGGAGTCTTAGGGTGTTTGCTCTCAAAGTGCTGCTTGAAGGTCTTGGGGTCTGGCATTTGTGTCTAAGTGGAAAAGTGTACAAAAGAGAAGAACCAGACTTTACGTAGGAAAGAAATACATGCAACCCGTTAAAACTTTGAACTTGCTGTGCTAGACAATCACTGCCAAATGCTTTTAGATTCCTATTTGTGACTGGCATATGAAAAGTATCTTACAAAAACGAAACTCCTAGAGGAACAGCACATAAAATAGAGTATGTCGAAAACAAATCAGAAGCCATTCAATTTCATCACCATTCTCAAGGTTCAACATGATCATGACACTGTCAGACTCCCCCCCCTCAACGAAAAGCTTCATGTAGCTAGGAACTTCTATTTGTAAAGACTTCAACAGATGATTAACTTCAGTCTAACAATCATGTCTTACCATGATCCCTTCCCATCTACACCACCAATCTTACTCAAGTACAGGGCTTAAAAACACTGCGTCTGTACACCAGACCCACGACTGTGTTATTTTTCCCTCTGACATTTCATTAACCTCGAGGGCAGTGAACTTACACAGACAGACAGGCTAGACTTTACAGATAGACTGCCTAAACTCAGGTCCTCGCTCTTTTTACTCTGGATACCTGCACCAATTACGAAATTTGTGTGTGGATTAAATATATGAGCGTACGGGTAAAACACCTGGCTCCACCTTTACACGTGGCAAGCACTCCACAATTCTTTAAACACGATAATTCTCCTAAGAGCCAAACTGTGGAGCTGGTGGAGCTGGAGGGAAAAGACAACTATATCGCCAGCATTGCATTCACTAGCACCATATGAAGTTCAGCCTGACCCACATAAGAATGCAGTGGGGACTTTTTTACAACATCCAAAGTTCTAAGCTCTATAAGCTATAACAAAGTTATATTATAAGCTCTATGAACACACCTTTATCTACACAAGAGCAGAACTTTGTTTTATCCTGGCTAGCACTTAGAGAAACATGCACGGCCACAGAAACCACACAAAAAATGTTTCTTGAATGTGTGACTGCAGATGGATTCTGGAAATCTCTGCAGTCTCTCAAATCTATTAGTTCAAATAAACCATCCGTTTTGTTTGTGTGTGTGTGTGGGGGGGGATACTTAACCTACACATATTTACAGGGTAAGAACTGCCTACAGGAAAGCATTGTCTGTGGGGTGCTCACCCTACAGACTGTGCAGGTGTGTATTAAGGAGGAGAGTGTTGTCTGTGGGGTGCTCACCCTACAGACTGTGTAGGTGTGTATTAAGGAGGAGAGTGTTGTCTGTGGGGTGCTCACCCTACAGACTGTGCAGGTGTGTATTAAGGAGAGTGTTGTCTGTGGGGTGCTCACCCTACAGACTGTGCAGGTGTGTATTAAGGAGGAGAGTGTTGTCTGTGGGGTGCTTACCCTACAGACTGTGCAGGTGTATATCAAGGCAGCTTTGGCAGCAGCCTTTTGGTCATGTCCTTGTTTCTTCTTTTGTCCAGCCTGCTTTTTGGCATTCTTCTGCTGAGACTGAATCTTCTGCTGTCCACGAGCCATATCTAAAAACAAAAGACTAGGCATCAGACTGGTTTCTTCATTCTAACACAGAGCAATTCAAGCTTTTCGTAAGTTTCTAGTGGTTTTCTTTAAGTAACTTAGTAACAGTCTCAGAGTTGACTACTTAAATTTTTTGTTTTTTTTATTAATTTATTTTTATTTCATGTACAATTTTGTTTCTCCTGTATGTATGTCTGTGTGAAGGTGTCAGATCCCCTGAACCTGGAGCTACAGGCAGTAATGAGCTGCCATGTGGGTGCTGGGAATTGAACCCGGGTCCTCTACAAGAACAACCAGTGCTCTTAACTGCTGAGCCATCTCTCTAATCCTGACTACTTAAATTTTATAGAGATGTTTATAGCAAGTGACATGAATGGAATTTCAAACTCACATACAGTGCTGCTGGATCACAAATAAGTATAAAGCCATTGTGTTAATCCGGTTGGTAGGTGTGTACACCATGACCTGGCATCCCTCTCCTGACACACGTGCAATAGAATCAAAGGTATGTACACCAAGGTGTACACAAAGATGTTCATAGTGCTTGCTCTAAAATGAGAGATAGTTCAAAAATCAATCAGTTGTGAAAAATAGACAGCACACAGAGGAATGCCAGGCACCACTCAGAAATAATCATTTCTAGCCAGGCGTGGTGACACATGTCTTTAATCCCAGCACTCGGGGCAGAAGCAGGCAGGCAGATCCCTTGTGAGTCTGGGGTTAGCCTGGTCTACATAGAGTTCCAGGCCAGCCAGGGCTACAAAATGAGGCCCTGCCTCAAAAAAATAAACTGAAACGATTTCTACAAGTTTGTATCTCAACGTCAAGGAAAGAAGGCAGCTAGAAAGAAACCATGTACAAAGTTCAAACCAGGCAAAGTCAGAGTTAACGAGGTCACTTTGCTATTCATGGAGTAATGACAGGGAGAAACGACAGGAGAGGCATTCATAGGACGCTGAAATGTTCTGTACCTTAAACCAGGTAACGATCATAAGATATGTGTATTTGTTTTTAAAAATTCAGTGCACAGAGCTGAGAACGAAGCACAAAGCCCCCACCTCAGCAATTGGGAGGCAGAGGGAGGAAGGCCTCATGCTCTGGCCAACCTGACCTACAAAACAAGACCATATCCCACCCCCTCCAACGACTCCTAAGTTTATTGAGCTGTACGCATTCCTAATTTTTTTTTCACTTTACTGATGTAATGCTCCAAAGTTTAGTCTTCCTTTATTACTATGTGATTATAAAGGTAATGGTAAAGGTACTCTCCTCTTAGCATCCACTACTGTGACTTACAATTGTACAACTTTTGTTAATAAGTGCTGCCAGCTAATCCTCTAAAAGACCACAGGGACACAGCAACTGTTCCTTTTAGTACTTAGACCTATTATACTATCCCAAACTTTTTTTAAGAGTTCTTCTTTCCTGCATGGAAACACAAACAATTACACTTCTTTGTGTACATGTAGAAACACAGGGGCTGGACATGGATCATTTGTGGAGGTCAGTGGACAACTTCTGGAATCCATTCTATCCACTGTGTGGGTTCTGGAGATCCAATTCAGACCCTCAGGCTTGACAGCAAGCACCTTCATCTGCTCAGCCACTTTGCTGGCCCAGCCACATAAATTATAGAGATAAATGAGTCCCCTGGTAGAAGGGTACCTTTTACAAAGCTGAAAATTTCTTTCTACTCTTTGCTACATTAAAACAACTGTCACTTAAAAGAGTCCTGTTAAAACCAGACTTCTGGTTAGACAGTACAAATTAAACCTGTTCACACAGGATCTACAAGACTAGTGCTTCTGAAGTATATTAAAATTAGATCCTATGTCATTTTGAATAGCACTGTAATTACATTTTAAACTTTGAAATCACTAAAAGACATGAACATCCAAGGAACCTTACTAGAAGAAGGCTGGCCTTTTCTGACTGGAACCCTCATTAGCTACCGGATATAAGGTCAAACGTGTTACAGTCAAGCTCTCCTCTCCCACCTCCCTACCCCAGTGGAAAGTGAACAAATATACACTTACTGGACACATTCCCACTGGTATTACACAATGAACTGAAAGTCTGATAAAGTGGGCAGGAGAATTAATGCTTTTCTATACAGCCTGTCCAGTCTTTCACCAACTACAAGAATGTTTAATATGCTAGCTTAATGTAAGAACTCCATTCCCATCCACGGCAAATATCAGCTGTTTGTCATAAAAATTACACTTCATTTTTGTGTTTTAAACCAGTTCCTTATCAATTCTAAATCCAATGGCACAGTTGGGGAGGGGGGTTGTTTTGTTTTTGTTTGAGACAGGGTCTCACTCTGTAGCTCCAGTAGTCCTGGAACTCAGTATGTAGACCAGGCTGGCCTCGAACTTGATCTATCCGCCTCTGCGTCCTGAGTGCCAGGATTAAAGGAATGTGCCATTACGCCCAATGACATATTTAAAAGTACACTGTGATGGTGGGTCTTCAATCTATGTACACCGACACTCTGAAAGCATTCTTAATGTCTCTCTGCCTTAGTATCAGACCCTTGCTAAAACATTCTGGTTGTCTCATACTTAACTTTTCCATACAATATGGTTACGCATGTGAAGACATTACTTTGGTGGACAGTCCTTAAGGATTTTATGTTTGCTCTTTTAAGTTACAAAACAGCACATCATTAATTCCAGAACTTTCCATGCAATCTAGAAGTTAAAACAGTTATTTTGATAACCTTTTCATGTACTGTACTCTAAAAACAATGTCATCAGATGAGTAAAAACTATTTTTAACTTTTGAATTTGGGGCTTCTCCTAAAACAAGACAGAACACCTAAGATTTAACCCATTTTCATTATCACCTAACAACAATAACGAAAAGGCATGGGCTTTAGTAAAAGGTGGCGACCGTTTCTTCTTTCTGAAGACACAACGTAACACTAGACAGATCTGCTCTAACAGGCTAGTTGCGTGCGGTAGGCCCTAACTTCTGACAGCAAACTGGCACGGATTTCCTTTTTGAAAGCAGAAGTAAGTGCAAACGCACCAAACACCTGCTTTCGGACAGCTCAACTTACGATCTGCTCTTGCCCAGCCCGCCGAGTTTTCGACAAAATCTTATGTACAAACTGCCCCCTGATTAAGTGCGACCAACTGAAAGGCAATAAATCGTTTGCAAACAGTTACCCGCTGATTTTTAATGAAACTTTAGTTTTCCCTGAAGACTGCAAATGAGCTAAGAACCAGGAAGAATTCTTGGAAAACCAAGGCGCTTGAGAAGGAGGCAACAAGTAAAGCCCGGCCATGAGGGGCCTCTTAGAGCGAAACAACTTACTCCGAGGCTGGGTAGCCAGGAAATGGTACTCTGCAACCAGCCCGAGGAAGAGGCCCAGGCCGGCTCCACAGCCCGACCCGGGCTTTGAACACCCGATCGTGGGCAGACTCCACCCCGCAGCTGCAGCCCGGCCCGCCCGAGGCCTCGGCGGCCCGCAGCCCCGCGCCTACTCCGCAGAGTCCGCCGTCCGCCGCCCGCCCTGGCCTCCCGCCGCCGCGTGCCTCCCACCCCGGCTCCCGCGTCCTGCGGCGCCGCTCACCCGGGCCGGGCCGGTCTGGCGTCCGAGAGACCGCGCAGCACGAGAGGAGCCGGGCAGGACGAGCAGGGAAGGAAGGGACGCGCCCCGCACCGCTTGGGGCCTCCGCCACCCGCCGAGGAGGGACCGAGCACAACCGGGAGCACAACAGCCCGCGATCGCACACCCGCCGCAGCGCGCGCCCGCCGCGCCTGAGCCCGAGGCAGGCCCGTCGCTCGTGCCCGCGCACGCCGCGCTGCACTCCCAGTGGCCTCAGCGCCTCCTGCCCGCCCGCCCGCCCGCGCGGCCCCGCCCCTCGGCTTCCTGCGGCGGCTTCGCCCCGCCCCTCTCGCATGCCCGCGCCCTTCCGGTCGTGCCGGCCAATGGCCGCTCTCCCCTGTTACATAAGCGCGGAGGGGCGGGGCCTCAGACGGGCACTGCAGGGCCATCGCCCTCCTCCCGCCTCCGCGCTGCGTCCTGTCGCCGCCGTGCGTGACCTCGGGCCTGCGGGCCGCGGTCGGCCGAATGGCGCGCTGGGGCCTCGCTCAGTCGCCTGCTCACCGGGCCTCGCGCCGCCGCCGCCGCCGCCGCCTTCGTGCTTCCCTGGCCGGCCGGGCGCCCGCGGAGGCGCTAGCGGGGCCGGCGTGGGAGACGCCAGGGGCTCAGCGTGGCCGCCGCTCGGCCGTGACCCCTTGTCGGGCTTGCGGCCATTGTTCTCTCACCGGTTCCGTGCTCAGGGTAGTTTTGACCTACCCGGGACTTTCTCTTAGTTGGAGACTTGAGCCTGATAATCTGATTAAATACCACCGGGCCCGCTTGGCCCGTGCAGGTTGGCTAGTGGATTGCTAGTATTTGAGAAAAAGGTCACTCCCCGCCATCACTTGATTTAGACAACGTAGTAAACTTTAGATACCTGATTAAGAGCGATTGCAGTTCTAACAACGAGACTGTTTACCGATGCTTCACCTGCATTCGTTATCCTACCTCCAACATGCTGGTTTCCAATGAGATCTCATTAGGTATACTGCGTTTGTGGCCTTTAAAGAAATCACGGTGTAGTCCAGACTGTTCTGAACTCAGATCCTCCCGGCTTCAGGAGCTACATGACTGTCACCACGCCCAGCCTGAATCTCTCAAATTTGCCTGGCTGTGCCCAGGGAATATTAGTTAATGTGAGAACGGTGTCGTTTAGCCAGGCTATGATGGCTTTGTCCCAAGATCGTTTAGCCAGAAAGAAAACAGCTTGCTCCGTACCGCATGTGGTGCGCAGTGCCACTGGGCAGTGATTGGAATGTGCCTATCTGTGATTCACTCGGCTTTACACTCACATGCCGTTGCTAAAATTTAGTTACATGTTTAAGTGTTGTTACTATTGCTGATGGTAGGATGTAAGCTCATGTTTATTACTGTTTGCCAATGGCTAACAATGTGCTGAAAAAAGCATATTGAAAAAAATGTGTATTGAACAGAATGTGCCTAAGGAGAATGGGGTTTGAAAGTGGCATATCATGAAGCTATAACGTTAATAGCTTAAAAGTTAATAGTTGTCACATTTATAATTATATTAATTTGCCTTATGGAATAAGATACTTGAAGGATCTAGAGATGGGAAATAGAAAGAACTGTTTGTCTAGCCATGAATGACAATGGGCAGTAAAAAGGGACCATGGAATCTGTGGGACACAGATGGTGACTTCTGTTTGAAGTAGACTTGGCATGTTGCTCTTTTTCCCCATGACCTAGGGGAAATATTCATAAAAGCCGGTGTTCCTTGAGTTCTCTACTCATATCTCATTTGAGAATTTGATAAAAGCAGTAGATAGAGTACTCCATCTCAGACATTGCTTTGTTGTCCGGGTGTGTCTTGGGAATTGCTAGGTGCTGAGTGACAGCCCTGCCATCAGTGCTCATTTTCGGTTGTGGTAACTAAGAATGTTTGAAGAAGCCGGGTGTAGTGGCCCACGCCTTTAATCCCAGCACTGTGAGTTCCAGGCCAGCCTGGTCTACAAATCCAGTTCCAGGACAACCAGGGCTGTAAGTTGGGGAGAAAAAAATGTTTGAAGATATTTACAGATTTCCCTGTGGAATCAGAGTTTATGGCAGTAAACTTGGAAATGTTTCCTCTGCTGCCTCCTCTTTACCTGAACCATGTCTGCCTGAGGTTTTCTGAGACTGCCATCCAGGCCCTCTGGCCTCCTCTATGCCTTTTATCTTTGAAGGCATCTCATTCACTCCCGTGTTTAAGTGCCATGGCCTAGAGAATGTGGAATAATGGTAATTGTGTGATGAAATACAAAGGAGAAAGGCTGAGGACAGAGTGGAGAAGATTGAGCACGTGTGTAGCGACAGTTGGTGAAAGGCGGTGCCTTTGCTGTGCTACCAGCTGGTGTCTTGCTTCTGTTACAGGAATGTGACAGCAAACTAGATGTGAACTCCTTAGGATTTCTGCACATTCCTAGTTTTAATTTTAAAAACTGCAGTGCTTCTGGTAATATTCTTCTTTTTCTGCTTATAGACAATTTCTCTAAGATACTACGCAGTAAGAACTTGCTGAGTTTCTATCCAAATCCACAGTGAAATGAAAATGCTTCTCTGGGGATGGAAGAGGTTTATTGATCTTTTTGTATGCATGTTGGGATTCCTGGGGTGAAGGAATTCTCAACAGATAGATTATCTGAAGGACTTTTTCAATTTATCTGCGGTGGTTAATTTGATACCTAAATTAATAAAGTGGCAACAGGGTTTATAGAAAACAAAAGAGACATGGTCCAGGCTGGGCATGGAAGCTCACACCTGTAATCCCAGGACCCAGGAGAATGAGGCAGGAGGATAACCTTTTGAGAGGCTCTGTGGTGAATTCAAGGACAGCCTGAGCTCCACCACTACCAATGACCCAAGACAACTGCACAGAGGCTCCTGTCTCTGGGGCGCTTTCCCTGGAGATGATGGTCGTGAAAATGGCAGCAGCCAGCGCCAAAGTGTCTCCTCTGCTGCCCCTCTTCACCTGCACCATGTCTGCCTGAGGTTTTCTGAGACTGCCACCCAGGGCCTCTTGTCTCCGCCTAAGCTTTTCATCCTTGAAGGAGTCTCATTCACGTTGTGGCTCTGAATGTTGTTCTTAAGATGACCCCTGTATTTCCAGCTCATTCCAGCTTCTGTTCTGAGTTGGCACTGACGTCCCTGCTGCCCATTGCTCACCTCTACCTTGATGTTCCAAAGACAACATTAGTGTCAGACTATATTGACTCTATGAAGCCATTGATTGTAAGTAACGTTTGTGTCCGGCAAGATTTTAAAGCATGCTACCAATTGAACTATGATGTAATGCTAACGTACTCTTGATTATAAGGTAAATCTTGATTTCAGCAAGATAAAAAGAAGTTTAAGTAGTAACGTGGGCTGTTAGAACAGCATCAAAAAGAGTAAAGTACTTAGGCATGACCTTACCAAGAGAGACTCAGAGCCTGTGTTCTGAATACCAAGCACCATTGTTGGAAGACATTGATGGAGATCTGAGTAAATGAAAAGGCACCTTAACTTTGTAAGTCAGGAGATTCTGAATTATACCAGGTCAGTAGTCTCTGCATTGATCTGCAGATTCAGTATAGTCCCTAATGAAACCCTACTGACATCTTTGCATATGTTGAAAACCCTATCTGAATTATTGGAACCTCAGCCAAAACAGTCTCAAAACGAACAACACTGGAAGACACATACTTCCCAATTTCAAAACTCACTACAAAACTATCATCATTAGTCCAGTATGGTAGAGGCAGAATAAGGACTCTCCACATGAGTGGACGGAATTGAAAGTCTTGGGATGACCTTCTCGTCTATGTTATGTTCTGTCACTTCTTTCATTCCCGTGACAAATGCCTGACTAGGGTTTGTCTGAGCTCCCGGGGGAGAGTGCAGCCTGTAGTAGGGTGAAGGTCTGTCGGTAGGAGGCTGAGGCAGTGATCACGTTGTTTGTGGAGTGAAGAAGCCAACAGATGGATGCTATTGCCCAGCTCATTTTCTCCTTTTTGTTCAGTTTGAGACCTCAGACTATAGAATGGTGCTGCCCCCATTTAGGGTGAGCCTTCTCACCTCAAATAGCAGTCTAGAAAAATCCCTTACAGACATAGCCAGAGGCTTGCCTCCCAGGTGATCCTGTCAAGTTGACAATAGTAACTAACCATCAGAGCAGCCAAAGAATGTCCAACACTAGTATCAAAACCACTTCAGCAGGGTAAGGCAAAGTCATTAAATAAACGGTCCTGTGGCAGCTGGATGTGGGTGAGCGAGGTTAGACTAAAGCACAGAATAACGAATCTGCCCAACCTAACAAATCCTACTGTCATGTGGGGGGGAAGCTTAGGTGTTTCTGTGTGTGTTCATTTCATTCCATGTGTCCAGCACTCACCATCAGTTGGCATGATATGGACACCTAGGACATGTTTATGGAATGAATGTATGTCTGGATGATCCCTTCAAACCAAGTTGGGGGGGCCTCCAGGGCACCTCAGAGCCTGCGTTCCACAGACAGTAGCAGTTGCCTTCCCTGGTTCTGGCCGGTTTGTCTGGCTGTACCCGTACAGGCTTTGAGTTCCCTGCAGTCCTTTAGTAGCCAGCACATAGGCAGCACCTAGCACATAGTAGGTGATCAGTACTTGTGGGTAGATGTATGAATGAGTTACAGACAGTGGGTTATGAAAGAAATTAGAAATATCAATGACTCTTGGTGTAACCAGAGTTTGGAGATGAGTGCCCTCTCTCTTGGGACCCTGCTAAGTGCAATGGGAAAGCAGTTTAGAACATAAGCCACCAAGACAGAACACAGAAGGAAAGACCTTTGTCACAAAAGAGAGGAGAGGGCGTCCATACTGGAGAGTAGATAGCGAGTCTAAATGAAACTGAGCAATCCAAGGCTGAAGACCATGCGATTGAGTGAAAGTTTAAGCTGACTATGGAAAACCCTCCCCCTTCTCCTTCTGTATCCCAGCTAGGCCTTAGAGCAGACAGTCTCCACCTCCAGCCTAAGACTGGGAGAATTTTCTTGAGAATTAGGAATTATCTCAACCCAATAGAAATACCTGAAGACATTGGTCACTGCAGTTCTCCCAGATCTATGTGCAGTGGATCCATTTGAAACGTGCTAGCTCCCTGAACAGACAGACCTTCCAGTCGGTCCAGAGCCTGCTCCAGTGTGTGATCTAACACCAAGGACAGCCAGACGTTGGAGACCCCAACAGCAACTAGAGAAGAAAGCA